TACACAATTGAAAAATGGAAAAGTGCATTAATAATTAAACATCTATCCTAAAATGTAAAATATAGATATATTAAATAAATAAATAATATAAATAATATTAATAATAATAATAATAATAATAATAATAATAATAATAATAATAATAAGAAAATTGACTATTAAAAATAGAAAAGTACATTAATCATTAAACATCTATCTAAAAATGTAAAATATAGATATTAAAAAATATAAAGTATAAGAAATAGAAATACACAGTATATAGCAAAATAAATAATAAGTAATTATATAATTTAAAAATGGAAATGGTACATTAAATCTTAACAAACAAAATGAGCCTTTTGAGGCTCCATAAGCTATACACATCAGTACGGCTTCTTGGAGGCGACAAGTCAGGGATATGAGTCCATTTCTTGGTCTCTAAGTCATACTCTTCCCCACATGTCAAGAGTTTGGAATCAGCACGACCGATAGTACCAATGACATAGAAATTCCCGTCCATGTAAACACCTGAACACATCTTCCTCAACTTGTTCATCTTCGGAAGAGTTGTCCAAGTCTGAAGTTCAGAGTTATACATCTCAGCGAAATCAAGAATCTTCCTCTGAGAATCAATTCCACCAGCGAATATAACAATCTCTCCGAGACTCCCGGATCCAAACAAACACCTCGGAGCATTCATCTTCATACCAGAAGACCAAGAATTTGTTAAGATGTTGTATCTGTATAATAAAGTAATAATAATAACGATGCCACGTGACATCTTCTTAAACAAAGTTTCTACGCTGATGTGGACGCTCTCTGGAGCCTCACAAGGCTTCTTTTATTAGTATATGTTTAAGTTTACATTTTCGAAATATTGATATAATGTATAGTTTTAATATTACTAATAAATATTATTTCGAACATAATAACTAATATGTAAATATACAACATTATAAATGGAAATACTACATTAAACATAGGTAAGATTACCATGATATATATAAAATTTTGAAAATAAAAATAATATGTAAATATAAAACATTAGAAATGGAAATACTACATTAAACATATGTAAAATCACCATTTTACATTTTTAAAAAATAATCATAATATTATTACCTTATTATGTTTAGTTTGACACTTTCAAAATATTCATATAATGTATAGTTTTACATTTTAATATATAATATAAGAAATATATATATAATAATAAGAAAATACACAATTTAAAAAATGAAAATAGTACATTAAGCATTAAACATCTATCTAAAATGCAATATATAGATATTGTAAAGTAAATATATAATATAAGAAAATAACATTAATAAGAAAATACACAATTGAAAAATGCAAAAGTGCATTAATAATTAAACATCTGTCTTAAAATGTAAAATTAGATATATTAAATAAATAAATAATATAAATAATAACAATAATAATAATAATAATAATAACAATAATAATAATAATAATAAAAATAAGTGAATAGACTATTAAAATAGAATAAGTACATTAATCATTAAACATCTATCTTAAAATGTAAAATATAGATATTAAGTAAAATAAAGTATAAGAAATAGAAATACACAGTATAAAGCAAAATAAATAATAAGTAATTATATAATTTAAAAATGGAAATGGTACATTAAATCTTAACTAACAAAATGATCCTTTTGAGGCTCCATAAGCTATACACATCAGTACGGCTTCTTGGAGGNCATACTCTTCCCCACATGTCAAGAGTTTGGAATCAGCACGACCGATAGCACCAATGACATAGAACTTCCCGTCCATGTAAACACCTGAACACATCTTCCTCGACTTGTTCATCCTCGGAAGAGTTGTCCAAGTCTGAAGTTCAGAGTTATACATCTCAGCGAAATCAAGAATCTTCCTCTGAGAATCAATTCCACCAGCAAATATAGCAATCTCTTTCCGAGACTCCCGGATCCAAACAAACACCTCGGAGCATTCGTCTTCATACCAGAAGACCAAAAATTTCTTAAAAGGTTTTATCTGTATAATAAAGTAATAATAATAATGATGCCACGTGGCATCTTTTTAAATAGAGTTTCTACGCTGATGTGGACGCTCTCTGGAGCCTCACAAGGCTCTTTTTATTAGTATATGTTTAAGTTTACATTTTCAAAATATTGATATAATGTATAGTTTTAATATTGCTAATAAATATAATTTCGAACATAATAACTAATATGTAAATATACAACATTATACAATGGAAATACTACTTTAAACATATGTAAGATTACCATGATATATATAAAATTTGGAAAATAAAAATAATATCTAAATATAAAACATTAGAAATGGAAATATTACATTAAATATATGTAAGATCACAATTTTACATTTTTTAAAAAATAATCATAATATTATTACCTTGTTATGTTTAGTTTTACATTTTCGAAATATTGATATAATGTATATTTTTACATTTTAATATATAATATTAGAATTATATATATAATAATAAGAAAATACACAATTTAAAAAATAAAAAAGTACATTAAGCATTAAACATCTATCTAAAATGCAAAATGTAGATATTATTAAGTAAATATAGAATATGAGAAAATAACATTAATAAGAAAATACACAATTGAAAAATGGAAAAGTCCATTTATAATTAAACATTTATCTTAAAATGTAAAATATAGATATATTAAATAAATAAATAATATTAATAATAATAAGCAAATAGACAATTAAAAATGGAAAAGTACATTAATCATTAAACATCTATCTTAAAATGTAAAATATAGATATTAAGTAAAATAAAGTATAAGAAATAGAAATACACAGTATAAAGAAAAATAAATAATAAGTATTATATAATTTAAAAATGGAAATAGTACATTAAATCTTAACTAATAAAATGAGCCTTTTGAGGCTCCATAAGCTATACACATCAGTACGGCTTCTTGAAGGCGACAAGTGAGGGATATGAGTCCATTTATTGGTCTCTAAGTCATACTCTTCCCCACATGTCAAGAGTTTGGAATCAGCACCACCGATACCACCAATGACATAGAACTTTCCGTTCATGAAAACAGCTGAACACATCTTCCTCGGCTTGTTCATCCTCGGAAGAGTTTTCCAAGTCTGAACCTCAGAGTTTTACATCTCAGCGAAATCAAGAATCTTCCTCTGAGAATCAATTCCACCAGCGAATATAGCAATCTCTCCGAGACTCGCAGACCCAAACAAACTCCTCGGAGCATTCATCTCCATACCTGAAGACCAAGAATTTGTTAAAAAGTTGTATCTGTATAATAAAGTAATAATATTAATGCTGCCACGTGGCATCTTTTTTAAACAGAGTTATTACGCTTTTGTGGACGCTTTCTGGAGCCTCACAAGGCTCATAATACCGAAAAATCTATACTAATAGAGCCTTTTGAGGCTCCAGAGAGCAGATTATTATTATTATTAACTAAAATGTAAAATAGATATTACGTAATATAAAGTATAAGAAACGGCAATACAAAATATAAGGAAAAATAAATAATAATTAAATATGTAAAATTTTAAAAATGGATTACTGCATTAAAAACTGATATTAAAATTTTAAAAATAAATAAATAAGTAATGTACAATATAAAAAATGAAATGCTATATTAAACAAAAAAAAAGAAAGAAAAATGTATAATTTTACATCAAATAATTCCCTATGAAACTCATTATTTCATCGACATCAACATCACACTCATCAAAAAAAAAGACTCCAAAGAACTTTAGGAAAAAAAACAGTGGCTCCACCATCAACTTTTACCATCCAAAAAAAGTTTGATGAACTCGAAAGAAATTTCTATAAGAACAAACTTTTGGTTAGGCTGTTTCATTGATGGGAAGCCCGCAACTTCCAAAACAGAAACTTACTCATAGGAGTTTATATTCTCCTCATAGAGTCAAATGTTCCAAATTAAATTATTTTAATCCATAATTTTCTTGGATTTCAAATTACCTTTTTATGGCCCAATTGATTTTAAATATTCAAAATTATATAATCCCAACATTATATAAAATAAATTAATTTTTTTGTATAATATTTTTAATTAAATAAATTTAATTCACTAATAGTAATGTTATGCTCAAAATATAGGTTTAAAAAACTTTCAAATATAGTTTAAACAACATAATCGGTGATGAATTTAATTTCTTAAATTAGATTATTATTTTAATTTTTTTTTTTTTAAACATAGTGAGTTATAAATATCAATAATGATGTTGGTGAATATAAGCATAAAAAATATAAATATTTAGTTTTCAAATCATAAATTCAGCTTTTTATTCAGTTATCAACATATAATATCTTACATTCTTTTTTAAATTGTACATAAACTATATAAAAATTAATCTTCCAGACTTAAACTATTTTATTATATATATATATAATTTTTAAAATAAAAATATTTTAAGAAATTTGTGTTAAAAATAAAAACAATAAATGGTTATTTACATATAATGATAAAGATGTATATTATACTATCATTTGACATGTATTAGATACATTAATATATCATTATTTTTTTACTTTTAGAAAAACAATAAATTGTAAGTATTAAAATCATTTAGGTTAAGTATACGAACAACACAAATTCAAAGATCACAAAAAATACTCACATATACATTAGAATACGATAATTTTAATCTCAATAACGTACAATTCAAAATACAATGTTCTTTCTTTTTAGCACTGTTTTTTGAACACTTGAAATACAACGTTCAAAATAATAGGTATATACTTAAAATTTTTGAAAATCAAAAATTTTCCGCGCCTAGTAAAAAAATTATATGGAACCTACAACATTATTTAAGTAAGGCTATTACACATGGTTTTCCATAAACCATCTTTTTTTTTTTGGTAAGTAATGCAAATAAAATATATTTGGAAATCATCATTCTAATATAATTATAAAATAATAAACTAATATTAGAAACTAATATATTATCTTCTGGCCTCCATCTTTCATCATTTTTAATTTTCTTTTGGCCTTTTACATCTCTTCAGTTTCAAATTTCGTGACTTTTAAGAACACAATCAAGCCTTTGAGTATTTGATCCACAGAGTCATTCCTCATCAACTGCTCAGCTATCTCTGCTGGTGTAACTTTTATTTCCCGGATAAGTTCCTCAATCTCCTTGAAAAGTATATGATCTTCAATCTCAAGATAGTTTGAAGCCAAGACCTTAAAAGCAGCGGGTGTACAATACGACATGTGAATGTGCATGTCCATACGTCCTGGCCTCAACAATGCTGGATCCAATCTTTCTCTGTAGTTAGTAGTGAACACTATGATCCGCTCGTTACCACAACTTGACCATAGTCCGTCCACAAAATTCAATAGACCAGATAGTGTAACCTGAAAAAAAATCATGTATGAGCTTAAGCTATAATACCTAATTACGATCTAACAGTTTATTGAATGATAAAAATGCATTACCGGTTTATCCAGAAGATCACTGGGCTCATCAGTAGTCCTATCCTTAAACTCAATGGAACAATCAATATCTTCTACAACCAAAACTGAACGGTTTGCAGTAGACATGAGTAACATACGGAGCTCAGCATTGCTCTTAACCGATGCCAAGTCCAAGTCATAAATATCAAAGTTAAGATGATTAGCTATGGCTGCGATCAAGCTTGACTTTCCTGTACCAGGTGGACCATACAACAAGTACCCTCTCTTCCATGCTTTCCCTACTCTCTCGTAAAAGCTTTTACGCTGCACAAAACAGTTAAGATCCTCTACCAAGTTCTTCTTCATCTCCGGATCCATGGCAAGAGTCTGAAACGTGGAAGGATGGTCGAGAGTCACAGAGGTCCACTCAGAATACGCACTGAGAGTAAAGATCTTAAGCGTTTTAGTCTTTTGCTTCATCAAAGAAGCTTGCTCCACCACAAACGGTAAGTAATATTCAAGAACCATCTTCTTCAACTTCTTGTTGAACCTGAGCTCGTAAGAACGCACTTCTGATTTCAAAGTAGAGTTCAGATCTCGAGGGTTGCGAAAGTCCTTCTTCTTCACGGGACTGCACACGAGGACCCAGGTGAGCTTGACGCCGTCGAAAGTATCCACTACTTCCTCGTCGCGTTCAACGGTGACGCTGAAGTTGCTCTGTTTCTCAAGTTTGTTGACTTTGATTCTTCTAGTGGAGTTAGATATCTTGGAGGATAGGTAAGCCTCTGCGGCTTCAAACACTTGGTTGTTTTCAAAGCCTCCAAACTCTTCAATCACAATTGTCATTTGAAAACCGTAGTAGCTGAAGCATTTGCGAAGGCCAGAGGAGATGAAGTCATGAACCTCTGCTGGCATGTAGTCTTGGACCACTGTTCGAGCTAGCATTGCGGCTGCAGCAACTGATGCAACCGTTGTGAGAGCTGTTTTGGCGGTGGCTAGGTAAGATGAATCAGACGAACTCATCTCCTTTCGGTCATCAAAAATAAGAATAAACAAAACGTTAGTCGGTTCAGAAACAAGAAACTAACAAAAAATAATAAAATATAGACAAAAATAATAATTGTGTAAGATGAATATGTAACAACAGTACTGTATCTGCTACTAGGTTACGTGCGGTAGGGATAAATCTGATTAGGTTGATCGAACGGTGATAAGATTTCTATGATGAGCATATAAATTGAAACTGAAATCTAGATGATTAAAAAGAAATAAGAATTGTGAGAGTTTAAGGAGATACTTTAAAGAAATAGCTTCTTGTGTTTCTTTGGTGGTCGAGCGTGGAAAGATGAAAGCCCTTCTTCTGCGATCACTAAACCCTTTCAAGAAACCTCTGGTAGCAAGATTTTGAGATAATTAGGGATGAGATTGGGATTATTTAATTGGAGCTGGATCACTAAATGAATGGTGTATAGTGGGCTACGATTACGGCCCATTTAATTTTTAAAAACTCGATAGCCTGCCCAGAGTCTTGGTTGCTGGCATAAGGCAATTAGTGCTGCGAAAGGGGTCAAATGACTCAGATCCGCCCCGTAGCGTTTTGGAATAGTGGGTTATCCGCAGAATCCGCAAGTCTTTTCAATATTTAACGTTTTAAGAGAAATTTTTGTTTCAAAATAGATAATATTTTCAATTTTTAATATAAAACTTATTAATAGTTAATGTTGGCATCTATTTTTTATTGGTTAAATTTTGAATAGATAAATGACTAATGATGTTTTTCTTTTTATAAATATAAGAAATTAAATAATTTTTTTATCTGTATAAAATATTAAAATATCTATTAATAATGGAGAAAAATAGTTTTTATGGGCCGTAATCAGAGTCCACTACAACCGAACATGATGCAAAAGTCGTACCTGAAGATCACCGACACAAGTATAAACGACATGGTGAGAATGAGAGAACATCGTCTGAGCATTTCCCCTTGGCTCGACACAGCACCGCCTCCCCAAATCATGTGCGAGAACGCTTTTTCAGCCTACACTCTCAAAAAGCTCAAGAAACCAGTCGGACAGTAATCAGATTTTAGCTGCAAAAGAACCCCTGGCTGACCACCCTACTGAGTCCCTACGGTTAATCTCCACTTAAAAGAATGTAATGGAGAAAGATGAGGAAGCTCACTACATCTCGTCCTCACCACAACACATAAGAGAAAGAAAGTCAAGATCTTCTTCTCATAAGAAGCTAACAGAGGAACATAAACAAAAGGGGAAAGTATCAGACTTTGAAGAGTTATCTGATGCGGGAAGCTCAGCCAAGAAAAGCTTAACTTTCGAGAATGATATTAATCATGCTGTATGCGCCATAATTCCTTCAGTTCTAAAGGTCCCTAAAGTTAAAAATTCAAAAAGTTGGTATGATCAAACTGTGGAAGAAGAAGAGAATGAAGAGATATATGAACCCCGATTAACCACAGAGAGAGCTATGGAGGAACAGCCCACATACTTGGAGGACCCTGATGCGGAAAAGATTCTGGAGGATGAGGATTGGGAGGAGGAAGGTGGAAGTTTCGATATAGAGGAGATAATGGAGGAAGACGATCTCTTGATGGAGGAGGAAGAGGAGGTTAAGAAGCCGGCTTCTACAGAGAAAAAGGCATCGACAAAGCATGAAATTCCCCGGTGGTGGAAAGGGAGCCCAGAGACAGGGAGCCCAAAGGCTGGAATTGCTCCAAAACTAAAAAAGCAGGCCAAGAAGAAGCTCCCTGTTCGCACGCCACCATCCACGCCTGGCCTATCGGCGTCGAAGAAGAAGGGATCGCCGAATCCCAACGCGGCGGGTCTCTCGCTGAAGAAGAGAATGTTGGTGATGGGTCGGGCCTCACCAAACATGTCTAATGCTAATAAAAGCCCACTTGTGGCAGCAATGGAAAGTTCACCATCTTTGGGCTGAGCTCTTCACCCTAAGGAATCAACAAAAGAGGTCAAAAAAATCAAAACATGGCAGTAAAGGGGGGAAACAATAAACCCCCGAAGATCCCGAGATGAACACAATCGCATGGAACTGTCAAGGGGCGAGAGCACCCTTGACCAAGGAGCACCTACATGAGTTGTTTCACTGTTTTTTACCTAAATTTCTTTTTCTGTCGGAGACTAAAAACAATCAGAATTTTATGCAAGAAGTGCAAGTTTCTTTTGGATATGACCATGTTTGTACCGTGGACCCGGTGGGTCGAAGCGGTGGTCTAGCACTTTTCTATATGGATGATCCCTCGGTCCGTATTTTATATGCGGATGAGCATATGATCGATATTGAAACTAGACTTGAAGGACATGCTATTTTTATGACATTTCTGTATGGAGAACCTGACACCAGATACCGTGATTTGGTTTGGGAACGACTGTCACGTATGAGTACAACCCGTACAGGTGCGTGGTTAATGATGGGAGATTTCAACGAGCTCACAAGCAACTATGAAAAGAGGGGAAGAAGACGTCGCTCAGAGAGTTCTTTCCTCCCTTTCCGAATCATGTTGGAAAACTGTGGAATGCTTGACTTCCCATATAAAGGAAACTCGTTTTCATGGGTGGGGAAAAGGAAAAATGGAAAAGTTAAATGCAAACTTGATAGAGCAGTGGCAAATGAAGAATGGCACGACCTGTTTAACCATAGTATTGTGGAATATTTACAGCTATGGGGGTCGGATCATAGACCAGTCCTTACAAGGATTCAATCATCATCTCGGAGTACTAAAAAGAAGAATTTTAGATTTGACAAGAGGTGGATAGGCAAGCCGGGATTTAAGGAAGCGGTAATTTCGGGATGGGGACAATTTGATGACATTCATGTCCGGAATTTTCATCAAAAAGTTAAACAAGATCACTACTTGGAAAAAAAAATACAATCCGACAAATTCAGCGGTCCTGATTGAAAATTTAAAAAACAGGATTGACTTGGCCCAAGATGATGAAAATTCCACGACTGAGGAACTAGAAGATTTGAGGTGACAATTGATAACGGCGTTTAGAGAGGAGAACACTTTCTGGGAACAAAAGAGTAGAGACCAATGGCATAAGTATGGGGATAAAAACACAAAATTCCATCACGCCACTACAAAACAACGACGAGCACAGAATCGAATCATAAGTATAAAAGACAAGCATGGGAGGTTGGTAGAGAGTGAAATCGAGGTGGAGACCGTTGCGGTTCAATACTTTCGAGATCTCTTCTCCACCTCCTCTCCGACAGAGGTTGACACCTCCCTTCGGTTCATTACAGAAAAAGTATCTCAGGCCGACAATAGGTTACTCTTAGAGGTACCGTCGGAACAGGAGATTCGGAGAGCCCTTTTTGATATTAACCCGGATAAAGCTCCAGGACCGGATGGTATGACTAGTAAGCTTTTCCAGAAATTCTGGAACGAGATGCATCAAGATATCACTCGACTGGTACAAGACTTTTTTGAGACTGGAAGCTTTGATCCACTCTTGAACCAGACGAAGGATATCTCGACTGGCAGCTTTGAGACTTTTTTGAGACTGAAGGAGGTATGGGGATGTACCTTGGACTGCCCGAACAGATCTGTGGCTCGAAAACTAAAGTTTTTTTCATACGTATAAGATCGGCTAAATGGACGAGTAAACAATTGGTCTTCCAGATTACTGTCCAAAGGGGGAAAAGAGGTCCAGATTAAAGCAGTGGCCCAAGCAATTCCGACATATCCGATGTCGTGTTATTTGATCCCTCAAGGCATCACAGATAGACTAAGATGCACGAATTCAAAATTTTGGTGGAGCTCAAAACAGAACAGCAGAGGTTTGCATTGGATATCATGGGACAAAATCTGTACTCCTAAGGATTTAGGGGAACTAGGTTTTCGTGATCTCCATGATTTCAACTTAGCACTTCTTGAGAAACAATTATGGCGATTGATACACTACCCGAACTAACTACTGGCACGTGTCCTAAAAGGGAGATACTATTACAACACCTCTCCTTTAGAAGACCGACGAACATACTCCCCTTCTTATGGCTGGCGCAGTATTATGGCAGCAAAACCTCTACTCCTTTCCGGACTACGAAAGAGGATTGGTTCGGGTCGAGACACGAGGGTTTGGAGCGAGCACTGGATCCCCGACTCGGTGGCCCGGCCACCAAGACCTGCTGATCATATTGTCTATAGACTCCCCAGCCTCCCGGTTCAAGCCCTTATTAGGAATGATACCAAAGAGTGGGATACACAATTTTTGAGAGAATATTTCAAGCCTGAGGATATACCTAATCCTTGGGCTAAAACCCTCATGCTCGTCTGCTCTGGATGGATATGTCTGGGACCACACAAAGACAGGAGTATACTCTGTTAAAACCGACTATGAACTACTGCAATCGAACAAACCAAGGCCTACACATGAATTTGTGCTCCAACCGAGTATCACAGGCCTCTAGAGCCACGTATGGAAGATAGATGCTCCAAACAAGATGAAGCACTTCTTGTGGCAAGCTATCTCAGGATGTGTGGCGACAGCAGAGAGACTCACCTACAGACACCTGGGCACCGATAGGAGTTGTCCTAGATGTGCTGGCCCAGTGGAGTCAATTAACCACCTTATCTTTGAGTGCCCCCCTGCCTTGCAGGTTTGGGCTTTATCGGACTATCCGTCCATTCCGGGTGTCTTCCCAAGTACTTCTATATATCAAAATATAGACTTCCTTTTTTGGAAAAGAAAAGAAGTGGCTCCACGGAGTCCACAATTCGACACCTTCCCATGGATCTGCTGGTACATCTGGAAGGCGAGGAACGACAAACTCTTTAATGGGAAAGTCATTTCCCCAATGGATACTCTCCAACACGCGTCTCTTGAGGCAGAGTACTGGAGAAAAGCGAACATAAGAGAGGAAATCGAGGAGGCTCCTTTGTTTCATTTCTCCTTGGAGATCGAGACAGAACCCTCTGGGACCCCCCAAATCTCGACCTGCCAAATTGATGCATCATGGATCGATCATGGCAGCGTTAGGGGCTTAGGGTGGTGTTTTAAGGATCGAATGGGTCATGAATGGGTCAGACAGCGGGCGTGTAGGAGAAGTCGGTCAGCCCTGCATGCAGAGATGGAAGGGCTACTCTGGACAGTCTCATGCTTGAGAGATCTGCGGATCAACTTAGTGAGGATTGAGACGGACTGTGCGGACTTAGTAGACATGTCTACTAATCCGGAGGAATGGCCAACCTTCACAACAGAGATAGAGAGGCTTATGAGACTATAGGAGGACTTTGAGGATATGAGGATTACTCATATTCCTCGAAGTCGGAATGATCGAGCGGATGGTTTAGCTAAAGAGGCGAGAAGAAAAGGATTTACTTTTTCCCATATAGATCACACCAGGTCAGATGGAGATGCTCTTAGGAGGATTGACTCGTCTGATCACCACTTGATCTAGCTTTAGATGAGCGGCTGACCAAGAAAAAAAAAAGTAACATTATCACACTTCTTAGACCTATATTTTAGTGTTTCTGGATCGAAAAATAAATAAAAAAACTATTAAAATGCTTACAAACAGACCTTAATTAAGAAGTTTAGGGTAAAATTATCGGTAAAGACTTGAGTTCCTAATTTATTTTGTTTTCTGATTTAAAAAGAAAAAAATAGACCAATCGGAAACTGCCACGTATTAATGGAGTTGCAAACAGTCCTAAGGACCAAACCAAAATGTCCCTAATTAACATACTTTCTTCTTCGGTTCTGCAATTTTTGTGACCCCCCCCCCCCCTTAAAGATATCACGTAAGATACACCAATAATGGTGCTCTTATTCGGTCGTCCTTTAAGTGCCATGTGGCAGATGCAGATTGGGTGTGGTGCTCCATACGACGGAGTCGATGTCGTCTTCTCTCGACAAAACCAATCTCCCCTCGATCCCCCCCTCGCCGCCATCGCCACCATTCTCTCCTCCGCCAGATTCACTTCTCTCACCTTCATCACCGGCACTCTTACCTTGTAAGGTATTAAGTATATATTGCTTTTTGATTCTCCATTCGTTCGTATCTCTCTCTATGCGTCTTCTACTTCGATTATTATCGTTCATTAAGTTTGAATAGTATCAATCTCTATTTGCTAATTTAAACTTTGAATCTCTGAATTTCTTGAAATAAAATTGCTAATTTAGACTTGTGTAGATAGATGCATGTTGATTACATGCCAGATTCAAAGTAAGGTTTTAGAGTGATTAGTATCAGGGTGTTTTCACATTTATTATGATCATACAGTCTTTTCTTCTCTTTTGAATGCTTCAGCTCAAAGCGATTCTACTTGGAGACCTGGAAACTTATATACGTGGCGCTGCTGAGTTGAGAATCTTCAAGAGGCAATAAAAATATATATTTTGTATTGCCATAAGTATACATATGGCATTCCCAACATTGCCAACTCTACCTCAAAAACTAGGCAGCAAAGAGATAAACTCCAAAGACTATCAACAACAAATCAATCACTTACCAGACAGCATTAGCAAACGCAATTCACATGTTTATGTGTCTGTGAACACTTATTGGTTCTGATAGTTTAGGTGATTGTGCCGTTGGGACACCATGAGATCAAGTGTCTTGTTTCTGTTTCTTTCATAGCAAGACATGGTGGTGACCGCTTTTTACTAGATACAGTGCAGAAAATGTATGCATCTTTTCAAGAGAACTCCAGCATTATTGCCGATCCCAAATCATCTAAAAGGACTATCAGCCAAGAAGAGTCAGCTGAAATTGCCAAAGAGAAGGTTAGTTAATTTCTCAATGTTGGTCTCCTCTGTCTAGTGTGATTCTCATGTGTCTTTTTTTTTTAATGCGGCCATATCCCATATGCATTGAGAAGTTAAACAACCTACTTTCTTGCATATTTTATTTGGTTTTTGACTACTGCAGATTCCATCAACTAACTGGACGTTCTAATAAGGTTCACTATCTTCAGCTGGAAACAAAATAATAATCATATAAGCTTTTTTTTCATAGTGTGTAGTCTTGTATCTCATTGTAATGTTATATTTTTTTTAAACACATTTTTATATGTTATTACTAATTAACATAAATAACTTATTTACTAAGATACAGCATAAAGTTTCTACCAATAATCTGCATTTTTGCTATTGTCTCTTAACATTGTCTCTTAGTATAAAAATAGTAATACAAAAAGCTAAGAACTCAACATTTTGTCCCAGCAATAATATTGCTCTAACATAATGCAGTCTTACAACTTTTAACAATGTGGAACTCCCGTCAAGGGTTTATTAATATTTTTTGCATCATGAATTTAGAGTTTAAATCCCGGAGTTGTTTATAATTTCTCGTATAATCTTCTATTTCTCCAGAATTTAGATTAGAAGCATAGAATTGGAAAATTTCTCAAAATCAGTGAAAAGTTACTCTTTACCTTATTGGGTAAGTGCTGGTCTTTTTAACTCTATGAGTTTTCAATTATATCATCAAGTGAATCCCAAAAAAAAATGTTTCTATCGTAAAACTAAAATGTTATGACTTTATTATCAAGGAATCTGATAATTGTAAACATTAGGTTTGAGAGAGTGAAGTTCGAGTTGACTCTGCAAGTCTCGGGTAACTTTACTGATATGTGATATATCTCCGGAGTGATCAATTTTCTTTTAGTACTTTAACCTTTTTTTTTGTTTTTGCTTTTGATGGTCTGATTCGTATGATGTGCAATGGATCTATTTTCTGAATGATGTGCTATGGATCTTTCCATGTGTTGCTCCTTCAAGTGGTCTATCTGGATCCATATCTTGCTTATTAATTTGTAATGTTATACCATCCCAAAAAATACAACAACAATGAACTCATGTTATACTTAACACTCTTCTAAATCTCACAAGTTAATATCACTCGCCTCCTCATGTTTGGTCTTATCTTGGTCGTTGTCGATCTTCTTGCCTTTTAATAACTCGACCATACCCTCAAGAATCATGTCAAGACGATCATTCCTCGTAACCTGTTCATCCACCACTTCGTTTTTCTTAACCTCCGAATCTTTTCCCTTGATGGTCTTGTCCTTGTTCTCCAACTCTTTCTCTTCCTTTTTGGCTTTCTCTTCTTCGTTTTGGATCTTTTTCACTTTCAAGAACTCAACCAAACCTTCAAGAATCTTATCAACAGTGTCATTCTTCATGAATTGTTCTGCCACCTCCGCTGGACTAACCTCCGTTGCCTCAATACCTTCCTCGATCTTACTGAAAAGCTTATGTTCTTTGATCTGCAAATAGTTGAAAGCAAGAGCTTTGAAAGCACTCGGTGTGCAGTACGACATGTGAATGTGCATATCCATGCGTCCTGGCCTCAACAACGCTGCGTCTAGCTTCTCTTTGTAGTTGGTTGTGAATATTATGATCCTTTCGTCGCCGCAACTTGACCATAGACCATCTATGAAGTTCAATAGTCCAGACAGTGTCACCTTTTTGTAACGTGGGTCATTACTTTCTTCTGGCTCACGAGGAGGTGGTTCATCACCTGACCTATCTTTCAGCTCGATAGAACAGTCGATATCTTCCACAACAAGAATAGAGCGGTTAGCAGTAGCAATCAAAATTCTCCGTAGCTCAGAGTTGTTGCTAACCGCGGTCAACTCTAAGTCATAAACATCAAAGTTGAGATGATTAGCCATGGCTGCGATCAAGCTTGACTTTCCTGTACCTGGTGGACCATACAACAAGTACCCTCTCTTCCAAGCCTTACCAACTCTTTTATAGAAGTCTCTCCGCTGCACAAACTGGTCTAGATCGTCCATCACATTTTTCTTGACATCTGCATCCATTGCTATGGTCTTGAAGGTAGAAGGATGGTCAAGAATCACAGAGGTCCAAGCCTCTGAGTAAGTCCCATACATGTTATCTGGGTCAAGAGTGAAGATCTTGAGTGTTTTCTTTTCTTGCTTCACCGTAGCAGCTCTTTTGACCATGAATGGCAAGTAAGACTCAAGAGCCATGTCTTTAAACTTCTTGTGGAAGGTGAGCTGGAATGATCTGACTTCAGATCTGAGTGTGGAGTTTAGATCCCGTGGGTTGTGGAAGTTCTTGGATTCAACATGGCGGCAATGGAGAACCCACCGGAACTTGACTTTGTTGAAGGTATCCACAACTTCCTCGTCACGTTCCACGGTGACATTGTAGTTGTTTTCTTTCTCGTGTTTACTCACTTTGATTCTTTTGTTTGATGGAGAGATCTTGGTGGCTAGATAGGCCTCCGCGGCCTCGTAGACTTCGTTGTGGACAAACCCTTCAAACTCTTCAATGACTATTGTCATTTGAGATGAGAAGTAGCCAAAGATGACGCGGAAGCCATAGGAGATGTATTGGTGCACCTCGTCAGGCAAATAGTCTTGGACTAGTGATTTAGCTAGCATTGCGGTTGCAGCCACCGATGCCGCGGTTGTGAGAACCGTTTTAGCCGTGGCTAGACGGGTTTCCGCGGAGGAAGAGTCAGAGGAGCTCATTGTTTTTCTTTGAGGTGTGTTTGTTCTGAGTTGTCTTCAACCCAAAAACTCATCATTTATTATAAGTGAGAACCGAAGACTAATAGAGGCAAAGAATAAGCGAGGATCATTTCGTTGCAACAACGTCGAAGTTTCTTTGTAATAAAATAGTGAAAAAGACAAAGAAAAGTTGTGTTTTAGTGGGGGTCCCATGACTTGGTCATGTGGCTTTTCTGATTTATCGACGTGAGAAAACAACGTGCTTCAAACGAAAAGGAAAATAGTAAACAAAGACTGACTTTACGTGTGGGTCATTCTTCTATTAAAGGTAGTCTTAGAGAAAATATAGCGACTTGTATATTAATATCACAATCAGTTCCACATCATATACAAGAACAAAATTTTTGAATCAAATATATATTTATTTGCTTTGAAGATCTGGCTTGGTACTAGTTTGAATAAGTTATATAACTGAATTTCTTTAATAGGAAAACAACAATTTCCAGTGTAGAAAGACAAATAGCAAACGATATCAAGTAGTTATAGTAAATTCCAATAATGAAATAATATAGATAGGTGATAGTGAAAATCTACTCTATTAAAATAGAGTCATTTCTTTTATCTACTGATACAAGTTGTCATTTAAATTTGGACTCTTTCTAAAATGTTACAAATAATATAAGTCATATAATTGATTGAACCGTATTACTTAATTAAACCAACAAAATTAATGTAAAAAGACGACCTTAATGTAAACTACCTTCAAAATACGGCAGATATCTATGTGTATACCACAAACACATATTTTCTCTAACAAATATGGAATGTTCTAAAAGAATATATATCATCAAAATATGGAATATGGAAATCTACTAATTATACTTAAATTAAACCAGTGGTTATTTATGGAATATAGTTTTGGGCTTACTTTTATTTTTTGAACAAATTATATAGTTTGGTTTTTGCGCTTAGTATTAAGAAAAAACTCCAAAAACATTGAATAAATTTTCACCTTAAAAGATCAAAAAATCAATTATTATTTTCAGACCCAAAAGGTATTTAATATTTTTAACTAAACAAAATTATCCATTATTAATCATATATTTAAATCATGTACTTTAAAACATGTTAATATATTTTTTATTTTAAATAACAATCACTTTGTTTTGATAAATTTCAATGGTAACTTTTAAATAATTTATTCTTTTATTTTTCTTAAATAGTTTACTGATTAAAAAAAATGTAAAGCAAAACCAAAAACCAAATCTAAAAACTAAAATCCAAAACCAAAAGCTGAAAACACATATTATATTTTTTTGCTTTGTTTATTTACAAAATAAACTATTTCAATTTTTTTTTTTTAAATTTGTTTTCATTTTTTTCAGTTTTAAATTAGATGTTCGATTATTTAAGATTTGTTTGTTGGTAATATTTGTTCAAACTAACTCAGCGGGTTTAAAAATTAAAAACCCAAACCAAAAACTGAAAATGAAAAGTAGAAACTTAAAAACTAAAAACCAAAATCCAAAATCTAAATATAAAAACTGAAACTAAAAACTAATGAAAAACAATCATCATCACAAATTTTGGTGAACTGAAATTATATCAAAATATTATTTAAATTATGACAAAACCTAATTATATAAATTTTTAGTCATAAAAAATTTCCGCGCTTTTAAGCGCGGGTCAAAATCTAGTTTAACTTATTTGTAAGAGAATTGACATACACGTTGAATTTGAAATTATAATGCATGAATTTGCTATTAAACCCCATCAAAGTGTTATAGGTAATATACATCAGAAAGATGTTGAATTTTTTAAGGGTTTTTTGCATATTTGACCTGAAATTTGAAGTCAACCACAAAACTAATCTTTTTTTTTTGAACTTAATTTTGCCCTATTCACCCCACAAGTTCATATAATTCACGAAAATGCCACCAATTTTTTGTTTTTTTTTTTTTACGAAAATGACATTTTTACTATCTCACCCTCATCATCTTCAAGTAATCACAAGATTGCCATTGTCATCAATACTCCAACCACCATGAACAACCAATTTGAAGCTCTTAATGCTTCCAAATTCCATTTACCCTTCTTCTTTCTCTATTATCATGAACTAAACAACACATATCTCTCACTTTCTCTGCACAATGAGCTAAAAATCCCAAGATTTTGATTCTACATTTTTTAGGGTTCACATAGTGAAAGAAACTAACGATTCAGGGTGGGTTACCTTCGTTTAAGATTCCGAGTGCTTGGAGAAGCCGTATGTGTGCTAAGAAAGTTCTCTCACCAATTGAAGGTATGAAATCGAGTTTTTTTTTTTGCGATATGTTCGTCCAGACGACTGAAATTTCAGTCGTCTGCTTTCGTCCAGTTAACGAAAAAGTTATTTTTGCAATTGACTTTGCAATTTGTTTCCAGAAACGACCGAAATTTCAGTCGTCTACTTTATTTTGGCTACAAAAAAATA